TAAGAAAGAGAGAGAGAAATAGAGAAAGTATTGTAGTATGCATCTTTTGTTCGAGAAGCTCTTAAATACGTGTCTCTTTTGTATGAGACATTTTTTACATGCACGTAAAAATGAAACAAGAAAAAAGGAAAGAAAAAAATTATGTATAAAATATACGTGGAGAAAAAAAAAAAAAAAAGAAATAGAAAAGGATAAAATAATCCGATCTATTTTTTTTTTTTATTATTATTATAGAAAAAGAAAAAAAAATAATTGATCATACTGTACTTCGATTTTCTTAAACCAGAGCGAAGTTTTGAAAACGTAGGTGCTGTCAGTGACCTACTATTAAAATGCTAACACGAAAATAGAAACCGTTGCGATTTCAAGAACTCTCTAGGGAGAAGAGAAAGAGAAAACGATGTATGATACGTTTTCTGCTAAGGCCCTTGGAGATTTTTATTCATACAGAGTGCCCCAAAGAATTGTCCTACACTTCGGCAATTTATATCGTAAGGGATAATAATATAACAAAATTTTTTTAATAGAAATCAACGTATAATGTTATTATAGGATTTTGAAGTTGTTTATCATATAAGTTGCTTGTCTAAACAAAAAATATAGCTAAACAATTTGTTTAACTTTTAAATTAATAGGTTTGAATGCAATGCAATTGTCATTTCCAAAATTTTTCTAATGCGATTAACGTTTTATCATTTAATTTATAATGGTAGAGAATTAAAAAAATTAATACAATAAAAGAGAGTTAATATTACATTGAAATAATTTAATTAGAGTTGTGTCTCATAAAAATACAAGACAATTTAACACGATCATTATTTTCATCATTTAATTTAACCATCAATGGAATAATAAAGATAGAATGGAATAGTACAATTGAAATTGAAATAATGAAACCTATGATACCCCTTCAATACACTCTCGAAATATAGGTCAAACCTTATGGGACATCCTATATGTGTTTTTTCGTTCATACTTCATTCATACACACATAAGTCATCGATGAAACGTTGCAAACACATTGGAAACGTTAAAAATGTTCTTTTCAATGAAAAATTGCATTTTTATATTCCAAACGTTCGAACTGGCATGGACGCTAAAGTTTTAACACCTTATTGATGTTATAAAAAAAAAAAGTAAGAATGATCCTTTCAGTTAAACTTACTCTGTCTCGGAAACAGTACGATAAATCAATGTCTCGGTTATATCGTAGATAGGATTACCAGACGCCATACCCCATACCCCATACCCCCCATTCTATCGTTGAATCAAGCTCAAATAAAGAAAGAAGAGAAACGAAGTTCGAATATCTCGATAAACGTATTTGCGAGGGTGTAACGTTTCATCGAAACATAGACGTAATCAAAAATCATGTTTGTATCTATGATAGATATACGACAGTTGCTCAATTCAATTTTACTTGTATATATAAATATAAATTTATGTATATGTATATGTGTGTGTGTGTATGTAAAGATATGGTACACTATCGGTTAAAAATATATCAGTCTATTCGGAAAATAAGTAAAAAATTTCAAAACCTGACGCGTGTGAAATTTTAATGAATACATTAAAAATTTAATTAATAAATATTTTAATAAGATTAATATTTTTAGAATATTTTTTGTCTATAAAGTTTTTCTATAATCTATACTTATCACATTTTATTTTCACATAATAGAAAAAAGTACAAAAAATATCTTACAATCGATTAAATTCTTGCGTACATTTAAACAGAATTCATTTAATTGATTTAATTTGTTTAATTTATTGAATGTTTTTAGCAGCAGATCAGCATCATCTTCATCATCACGAGGGTAGCGTTAAATCTCCCCATTGCAGTAGCGAACCCAAATTAACGAACGCCGATGTTAGTCCAGCATGCAGAAGAAGGGGAAGTAGAAGAGGTCAGAGTATGCATCATGCTCAACAAAAGAAAAGCAACGATTTCCTTGACGTTCCCGTAGCATCTATGCAATTATCACCAAGGGAAGGTGAAGATGAGGATAGTTATAGGCTTCGAAGCTTTAGTTTAACGAGAAAAGGTAAGTTATTGTTCTTCTTCTTTTTATTATTATTATTATTATTATTATTATAATACTATAATACCTTTTCTTCTCTCTACGAGCTGAAAAGTTTTATAATCTCATTACAATTTTCATTCTCATTTTCTATTTATTTCGATTACTCGCAGGAACTCAACTTAAAAACAACTATTATATTCCCCGATTAATTTATTAACCATGGAAATTTTGTGAAGAAAAATCTTTCGTATCACGAATTGTAAGACAATATATGTGTCGAATTCAAATCTAGAATGATGCATTTATTTGCAAAGATAGGAAACTTCGGATAAATTGTTGAATAGTTAAATGAAGAATTAGAGAAGTGTAATATGTTTTCTTAAATACGTAACTGGTAGACTGGAGTCTGTCAGGCTTCAGTAATTGTTTTTTCTGGTGTCTTAGAAGTTTGATTGTTGTTATAAAAAATTATTGCTTTTGCGGGATTTTTCTTTTTTTTCTTTTTCTTAGGAATTTATTTTTAACTTCTTTTTTCGGGAATAAACATTTTCATGAACTTTTAAATTAGAAATAAAAATTAATGCAATACGTAAAAATAATATAAGTAAGGTTTAATACAAATTTATGCACTATATAAATATGACTTGCAGTAGTATAGATCGATAATTTATATGATACGCAAATTACATACCTTTTTTTCCACCCTGATATCATTTTTCTTACGAATGCACAAATCAGTGCGTAAATATTTGATCCTTGAATTACAGATAATTTTTCTCGTGTTATCATTTTTTTTTTTTATCAAGTAGCATATATCAATGATTTATTCGACGCTTAAATTACACATATACCTATATTTTTTTATTTCCCCTATCATTCTTCTAAATAATATTGTTACGTATAAAATATAAATCGATGATTTATTTATTTAATCGAATTGGCACATATTTTTCTCTCTCGTATAGTATTTTTTTTGTATAATAATTAAATCACATGGACTTTTATGTGATTCATTAATATCAAAAAGAACCAATATTTTTCAAATAAGAAACAAAATTTCCGAAGTTACGCAAAGAAACGGGAAATGAGATAATGTCGATTGAAATCTACAAAAAAAAATTTCTCTATATATTTGGAACAGATTCATCAATTCTTCGACTAACGCGACTATGCTAGAAATTTGGTACTTTCGTTTTGAAACTCTGCATGACTTCTTTCGACGATAGGGAAGCGTGCGTGGTATATGAAACTCGTGCCAGAAATACGCGTGAACGCGAGAAATGAAAGAAAGAGTGAGAGAGAGAGAGAGAGAGAGAGAGAGAGAGAGAGAGAGAGAGAGAGAGAATGAGAAGTTGATGGAGGATTGAGAAAACTTACAAACGAAAGAGTGAGAAGGAAAGAAAGAAAGGGAGAGAAAGAGAGAGAGAAATATCGGGATTAACGCATTAAAGTGAAAAACGTGAAAAAGAGAAAGAAAAGGGAATGATGAAGAAAATATAAGGGATAAAAAGAGGAAATAAGAGAGATAAGAGAGAGAGAGAGAGAGGAATACGATAAGCGAAAATAGCGTCTATAGTGGTGACGTAGGTCAACTTCCCCGAAACGAAAGGAGCGACTTCGTGCAAGTTCGCCAAGCCAATGAACGTGCGTGAAAGTCGTTTACACATCGTCCAAACTCTCACGTTTTCCACATAATCACGCGATACCACCTACGCATTTATAGTATATATATGTTACCGTCAAAGCCAGAAATCAGTCATTGTTAGTAATTCCTATATACATGCATAATACTATAAATGCAAAGAGCTTTCAAACGAAGTCGGAAATAAGACTTTTTGGAGAGTTTTTCTTAGGCATCGAACATAATACTTTGATATCCTATAGAATATCAAATTATTATTTAAACAACGTTGAAAAGAAAGTGAATAGATTTTAATGAAAGTTATATTAAATTAAAGTACACTCTTTTGTCTATGCGTACAATCAAACGACATATGGTTTTTATGGAAAAAAAAAAGGAAAAGTTATTTATATTCATTGGGTTACGATTTAAAACTATAATTTTTGAAATAATTATTAAATCCGATTATATGTTTTGAATTTTTGGAAGGCTAGAAATTGAAATGTTTATTTTATCTAATTAATACTAATATATATTTCGTATAATTTAGATTTTATTTTGTATTTACATTAATTATCGTTTATATAGAAATTGTTGATGAGCATCTTAAGATAATTGTGTTTTGTATTTAAGAAAAAGATTTTCTCCTTACTCTTCGGGATAAATAATATAACATCTTATATAAATTGTTGGATTTATCAAGCTGATCGATAAATAATTTCCTCATCGAATTATTTTATTAATAATTATATTACCTTGCCAACGGCGCCGTGCCGAGAAAAGAAGATATTCATTATTAAAACCCGAATAAGATAGATATCATTTGGTAAATAGTTATTATTAAAGCTTTAAACGTTTAAACGTTCATTGAAAGAAATTTGGGACTTAGTAGAAGCTCTAGAAATCATTCCAGTTTATAGGATATTGTACGTATTTATTTTCAGTGTTTATGGGATATTTTAATTAGCATTATTTTCATAGAATTGCAAGACACATCGTTTACATATTCATTGGAAAAAAGCATTACAATTTTCCTAGAATATTTGAATTAGTAAAATTTTCATCAAGTGTGCAACATTTATATTATCGTTTATAAATTTATTATGAAAAATATTCTTGGAATATATAGTTTGACATGATTTTCCTAGATTATATCACATTGTCTATCAATAATTGATTTCGTTCAAAATGATTTTCTCTTCAAATGTTGGTCAACGGTAAACAGGAAGTTAGGGATACAACATTAGAGAAAGAAAGAAAGAGAGAGAAAGTGGGGACAATATTTGATATAAATTGATTTTACCATAACATTAGATGTGGTATAATAAGGATCGATCGATAAAAGTTTCAAAACAGTTTGGTAAAGTTTGAAACCCAAGGATATTGTCGTCGGTATAATAAAATGTGTGTGTGTGAGGTATGTAGTGTACTGTAAATTGGCAAACAAAAGACGACGACAGTAATTTAAACGTTGAGGAGATCGTGTGTTAGTAGTTCTCCGGTGCCAGATGGATCGTATAATGTTACCCATCGTATGATGAGGGGAGGGCCAACAAAATTTGCCAGCTATCGATCCTAAGTCGTTTCGAGAGTCGTTGCATCGTTTTGTGTGGTCTCGATGCGTCATTAGATTTAAAATACTCTTCTTCTTATTCTTCTTCTTATTCTTATTCTTATTCTTATTCTTATTCTTCTACGATATCTTTTCGTATATACATCGAATTCGAATGCAACCAAACCACAAAGAGATATTTTCTAATATTTTTCTTTCTTTTTTTATTGTGTTTACTTTATCTTTTCTGACATTTACTATGATATAAGAATGTGTTTATGTCATATGTGTGATATTAGCAATAGATAATGTATTTTTCTTTTGTTTCCTGTTTCGAACATACTTCGTTATTTTTGTATTTTTAATTAATAACGTTTAATAATTTATCTTGCGTAAATTCATACTTTAGTTTATCGATTTAATAATAATAATAATATATTAATATACGATGGAGAGAGATACTTTTAAAGAATTTTGTTCTTTTGATATTTTGAACAAAGGGGAACAAAAAACAATGAAATAAATGTGTTAAAAGATGATAAAAGAGAAGAAGGGATGGGGGATAGATAAAAATTGAGTGTAAATAATAAATTGAACGATACCACCGTTTATCTTTGTTGCTTGCGATAAAAGTCAGAACTTACTAGGGTGATTGGTTATCCCGTCTGATAAAATCGATCTCGACAAAATCAAACACGGCATATATTTGATGTCAGTTAACCGAGGGAAAATATTTTCGGCACGTACGAGAAAGAACTCTCTTTTGTGGTACATCAGCCCTCAAGAAAGGGTCGTTATCGGATTAACATTTTCGTCTTTTCTTCAATCCCTACAGAATATTCGGACGTTAATCATCGATTGCAATTAATTGAAAATTAAATCAAACCACAAATAAAGAAATAAAATAAAATAAAATAAAATAAAATATAATAAAAAGAAAATTATGAAATGATAAAAATCAATTAATTTTCCTCGACACTCGTTAAACTTTGAAAAATTGCGTACTTAAAAAAAAATAATTAATTTAACAACAACAAAATCTGCTACAAATTTGGAACGAGTCAAACTCACTCCCTTACATGAGTTATATATAAATTCTTATTTTTATTATGTTAAAAAATATATAAGTAAAGAAACAATTTGATAAAAAAAGGATACACGAAACATCTATCCTTAAAGGTTATGATCGTCGATAGGTCTTATTAAAGATCGTATAAGACGAGAGAAACTTTTAGCGAATGCCATACGAATCTGTCGTATAAATCTTATGTTGGTGCCTTCAGGAAAAGCTCTACGTCCAGTCAAATTTATCGTTCAAACGTTTGCCCAATGAAACAAACGCCCCTGCCATTTTCTAGTCATCTTTCTTTCAATGTATATATGTGTAGATACATATGTGTGTATGCTTCGTTCTCTTTCTCTATCTTTCTTTCTTTCTTTCTTTATGATTAAGCCTATCTCAAAATAGATTTTCTTGAAGAAATAATACAACAAAATTTACTTCCATCGAATAATTAGAATCTCCTTCGCGTTTCACGTTGCTAATTCAAACTGTAAGGGTGATGAATTAAGAAAAATCGAATTAAAGATCAATAAAATTGTTCAAATATTAGAACACGTAGTTACAGAATAAACTCAAATTTCATGATTATTTCTTTAACATAATAACGTGTAAAAGGATATCAAAATTATTGTACATCCTGTTTGTAACATTTAAAAAAAAGAAAAAAAAATAGAAAACATTGATTTACTTGAACGATAAGTGTGTTAACGTAAACTACGCGTCACTTATTTTCTTCGTTGCATAAGTTCTTCCATTTGCGCTTACATTTTTTTTTTTTATTTCCT